AGGGAGGGGGCTCGGGAGGGGAATGGGGGCTGAGGGGAAGGGGATGAGTAGAAGAGGGGGCTCAGGAGGGGAATGGGGGCTGAGGGGAGGGGATGAAGGGAGGGAGATGAGGAGTAGAATAGGGGGCTGATGGGGCAGGGAGGGGAGTTCGGAAAAGGAAGGGGCTGAAAGTAGGGGACTCGGGGATGGGGAGTAGAATAGGGGGTAGGGAGGGGGTTCAGGAGGGGAATGGGGTGCTGAGGGGAGGGGGATGAGGAGTAGAATAGGTGGCTGATGGGGCAGGGAGGGGAGCTTCAAAGAGGAAGGGGCTGAGGGGAGGGAACTCGGGAGGGGAGGGGGCTGAGGAGTATAATAGGGGGTTGATGGGGCAGGGAGGGGAGCGAGGAAGGGGCTGAGTGAGGGAAGAGAATAGGGTGCAGATGGGGAGGGGGATGAGGGAATTGGGGCTAAGGAATGATGGAAGAAGGCAGGGAGGAGAGTGGGGCGGATGAGGCGGCAAGGGCTGACGGAGGAGTGCCTGGGGGAGGGGAGGATGGTGCCTGAGTGGTGATGGGAGATGGGGGGATGATGAAAGAGGCAGGAATGGGGAGACAGGAGCTGGTGGTTCTCCTGGGGGTCTCTCTCACAGCCTGGGAGTGAAGGGGTTTTCCATGTGCAAACCAACCATCTTGTTCAGGGGTTAGTGGTGTTGATGGAAGTAGCGTGAGGGGACAGTAGCTAGCAGGAATGGGATGAATGAAGAGATGAGAACTTTAGGGTAAAACTCATGGAGAGTTCCCTGGGAATGAAATGTGATGGACTGTGGAATGATTCCTTGAGGAACTGTGGAAGCCCTATCGTTTGGGACTGGACCAAACCTTTGAAAAGAGACCTTTAAGGAGAAATCTTGCAGAAGAATGTAAAAATGGCCATACTGGGTCAGATCAATGGTCCATCTAATCCAGTATCCTGTCTTCAAACAGTGGCCAGTACCAGATGCTTCAGAGGAAAAGAACAGAACAGGACAGTTATCGAGTGAAATTATCAGTAGAACAGATGGACTAGAATCTAACCGGTCTTTGCCAGCACTAACGTCTGAGATTCTCTTGATCTGTCCCATTCTTTTTCAGCATGAAAGAGGCCACAGTGTGAGCCCCCTCTGATGAGACTTCCATTTCTGGTCACCCACTTATGCATTGTTATTTGCAGCATCTAGTGAGAAAGGCCATCTCAGTCAGCACACTAGGTAATGTGACAGCCAAAAACTGCCTACGTAATCCTTTAGCTTCTGCAAACCCTCTCTTCCAAGGCTCTCAAAGCACTTTATAAACATATACAAAGCATCCCCACATTTCTGTGAGGTATATAATATAGGAATGCTTCCAACTACATCTGGGGCCAAATGTAGCACCTGTTTAACAGCATGGAAAATGTCACATAATCGTTTAGGGCAGGACATAAGGAGCCCTATATGCAGTTGAAACAGCAGGGGAATTTAGGTCAGCATAATGGGCCAGAACACCTGAAAATGGCCAGTGTTTAGTGGCCAGCTTCTAAATGTTATGATTCATCTAAACCTAGCCTTTGCAGCAACACGGCGCCCATTAAGGGGCATTGATTCAGAGGAGAAAGCACTCTACCGAATCAGCAGCAAAGAGTCCTGTGGCACCTTATAGACTAACAGACGTATTGGACCATGAGCTTTCGTGGGTGAATACCCACTGCGTCGGATGCTCATTCATCCAACCACTGCCCCCAGCCTGACACTGCTTGTGTGTGAGAACTGATAGGGTCAGAGGAAATAGTGGTACCTCCAAAGGCGTCATCTCAAGTTTCAGAGTGGAAATGTGATGTGATCAGTCAAGTAAATTGCCTAAGGTATGCCCACGCTGGGGAGTACTTCTTTCATGGGCAGCAAAGACTACCACCTTTTGGACCCCACCCAAAATGGAGACCGTTTGCCTCTCCCACAAAATCTAGGCCCTGCTTCTCTGTTACAATTAACAGGTGGTGTCCGAGAGCTAGTTATCGCCCCTGATTCTTTGCCCAACCCCAAGGGGTTATTGTAATCTGCATTAGCTGGCATCTGGAAGCTGAGGAGGGTGAAGAATCTGCCCCCTCAGCTAAATTTTATGCTCTTCTGGAGGCAAAAAATCATGTCAGGATGGTCGGATGGATTTTCCCAGGCTCCATTTTCTCCTGTCTCTTGCCTTCTAGATTTTTAAAAAACGAGTGCCCAATCATATGGATTCCTTGCCCAGATTAGGAGTCTGGATTCCACACAGAAAAACTGCTAGGTCATTCCATGGCAAAAGCTTTCAGCATGTAATCTGGTTGTGGGAGATGTGGACGTTTGAGAATGATGATTGTTTATGTAGCACTGTACAGTGTATGCAGAATTGTTAATATATGTACAGCACTGGAAGTTAGGGAAGTGGGCAGCGGTGGAGTCCAACAAAGGCGGCTGGGCTCCTAAATCCTTCAAGGGTGGAGGCACCGGTGTTGGCAGTCATGGAGGATGGAAAACGGATGCTGGGGTGGAAAGAAAGGGAGTTCCCCTTCCAACTATGTGAAGGTTGGGAATGGAGTGGAAGTGGGGACTTATGCGTGGGTGGAGGAGACTTTGTGGCTGCTGGGGTGGTTTTGCTACAGCTCGTGGGCAAGGGCTAGCCAGTGACCTTGTCAGATATGGCCCTTGGAACGGAAGGAGCACAAGCGACTTTTCCTACCCCTGCCATGCCTCTCCTGTGTTTAGAGAAGCACGGTGGGAAAGAGAAGCATAAAGAGAGAACAGGACTGATATTAACAGGCCTCTGTGTATCTGGGCAGGGAGTGATATGAACAGGAAGAAGAGAGAGGCAACGGGAGATGGCGGGGGGAAAAATCAGCTTAGAGGAGAAAACAGCAGAAACATGGTAAGTGTGTTTCATTCGGGAAGGGGATATTTGTACCGACATCTCTCCCAACCGCTGCTGCTTCTGCTTATTTCCTTTCTCTCTCCACCTCTTCCTCTTTCTGCAGAGGCGATTGAAGTGTGGGCACCTGTGAGACCTTTAGCTCCGTCTCTTATGTTAGGCCTCTTCATTCTAGCATGTAGAAACTTACCTAAAATGGTCAAGAGAAGCTTAGATTTATAATGTGGCTGAAATGAACACATACAGTAGTGTAATTTCAATCCAAAAAAAATCACCAGCATTTTTTAAGGAAGCATTTTTCCCAATCCCCCGCTGGAGCATGGATGTTAGATTTGTCTCTCCACTTTCAGAAATTTCCAGCCTCTACTGCTCTGAGTACAATGCAAAGGGAAAAGTTACAAAAGGGGCCATTTTATTGGCAGTCCTGGGTTGTGTACTGCCTGCCTGCTTCTATCCCAGAGATGGCTGCCTTTCAGTGGTGGGTGCAGGGACACCCTATTGAGTTTGGAATGCATGCTGGAATCGTGAATGATGGGTATAGGGTAACCAGATGTTCCAATTTTATAGGGACAGTCCTGATTTTTGGGTCTTTTTCTTATATAGACTCCTATTACCCCCCATCCCCTGTCCTGATTTTTCACACTTGCTGTCTGGTCACCCTAGATGGGCGCTATAAACTAAAGAATGTATCTATAAATACGAGCACACACTATTTATTCTGTGCCAGCTAGTTTAAAAGTTGTCTGCCTCACAGCCCAGTTTGACAGATGCATATAACTTGATTAGTCCATCTAACATGAGTGTTCCATCTTAAGAGATTGCACCAGTACAGGCATGTGTGAGTTATTCAAGCTATTCCTCCTGAAGTTCATTCCTTGAGAAGCATTTATATTATTAAGCTTCAATTAACATGCACATTATTAATTGAGCTTTACAGCAGTACATGCTCAGAATGCCATATTATCACTTTTCCCCAAAAAATTTTTAATTTTCACTGCAGCAAAGGAGACCATTGATTCTGCTGTCACATAAAAGATTGTTTTCTTTGTTATTTTACAAAAGAACTTCAGTGCTTGCTCCAGGTAAAAGCAAGAGAAAAATCTGTAAATCCTACTCTTATTAAATGAGTCTAAATCAAGGAGAGCTGCTAACTGTGATGGGGAAGATCTGCATTTTCTTGCCTGGTAGTCACTGGTGCCAGACAGATGCTGTTGGTCCAAAATTCATGAGCAAGTCAGCCTGACATGTTTATTGCCTATTGATTTTTTTTTTCCTCCTCTGTCTTTCACGACCACTGTGTAGTTTGACTGCTAATACATTACCATAGTCTTTAGCAGAAGCAACAGCAAAACAGAGCATTAACACATAAGCCCTTATGTGCTGCTTTACATCTACAAAACACTTGACAGATGTGTAAACTGAGGCAGCGATTTGCCCAAAGCCAAACAGCTAGTTGGTGGCAGAGTTGACACTAGAACCCGGGAGCGCTGAGTCTCAGGGTCTGTGTACAGCGTAATCCCAGGTGTGATTGCAGCATGGCTAGACACACCCATGATAGCACAGCTAAAAATGACAGTGTAAACATAGTGGCATGGGTTAGCAATGCGAGTGTATGCTCAGGGTCCCAGCTGCGCTTGTCTTGCTCTGAACCCCCTGTTGCCCTATCTATCTACATTGCTGTTTTTAGACATGCTAGTGCAGTTGCAGGTATGTCTACCCATGCACTAATCACATCTCAGCTTGCAATGTAGACATACCTTCAGTGGTCTGCTCCCTTCTCTGGCACTTTCCATTGGTAGGAATAAATGAAGGGGGGGGATGGTGCGAATGGGCATTTATTCACGGATGAAATCGGGTTTGATTTTTCTGGGCTGTAGTTGGCAGAAATTCTTCATTTGTTGTATAATTCAAAACTTCTTTTCTCTATTCCAATCACAGCAAAGCTCACACAACCAGGAAATAAGAATGGAGGTTACGCTTGTAAGAGATGAGAGTGTATTCTGGAAAGCCGTGACTCAGAGAAGTGCTTAGGGTTCATGCCAGTTGAACCTGAGCTGCCCGTGTGAGGCTGTAGCTAAGAGGGAGATTATGATCCTTGGATATATGAGCAGGGGAATATAAAGTAGGAGTAGGGAGGTGGTACTACCTCTGTTTATGACATCAGTGAGACCATTATTCGAAAATGTCCAGTGCTGGGGTCCACACTTCCAAAGGGATACTGAAAAATTAGAAAGAGTTCAGAAAAGAGCCACATGAATGATGTATGTACTGGAAAACATGCCTTCTAGCGAGAGACTAAAGAAGCTCACCCTGCTTTATTCAAGAGAAGGTTAAGAGGTGACTTGAGCACAGTCTACAAGTGTCTATGTGAGGAAAAGATTTTTGATAGACGGCTCTTTGTCAGAAAAAGTCATGAGATCCAGTGGTTGGAAGCTGAGGCTAGGCATATTCAGACTAGAAATAAGGTGCAAATTTTTAACAATGAAGGTAAATAATCTTTGGAACAAAATTAGAAATGAGGCACTATTTTTTTTTTTAAAACAGAGTGATTTACCACTGGAACAAACTTCCAGGGCACATGGTGGATTCTCCATCCCTTGATGTCTTCAAATCAAGGCTGGATGCCTTTCTGGAAGATATACTTTTGCCAAACATAAATTACACTTTAGTCAGAGACAAGATACTGGGCTCAGTATAGAGATAACTGGGTGAAAGTTAACGGTCTGTGAGATCAGACTGGATGATCTAATAGCCCTTCTGGCCTTAAACTCTATGACTAAATCAAGACTGGATGTTTTTCTAAAAGATTTAATCTATCTCACCAATAAGCTATAGCAGGGGTTGGCAACCTTTCAGAAGTGGTGTGCCGAGTCTTCATTCATTCACTCTAATTTAAGGTTTCACGTGCCAGTAATACAGTGTAACGTTTTTAGAAGATCTTTCTATAAGTCTATAATATATAATTAAACTATTGTTGTATGTAAAGTAAATAAGGTTTTTTAAATGTTTAAGAAACTTCATTTAACATTAAATTAAAATGCAGAGCCCCCCGGACTGGTGGCCAGGACCCAGGCAGTGCGAGTGCCACTGAAAATCAGCTCGCGTGCCGTAGTTGCCTACCCCCGAGCTATAGACTTGATGCAGAAATAGAGTGCAGTTCCCGTCTAGCCTTAAGAATCTATGAACTCAATGGGGCTCTGTGTGGGCATAATGACTAGCAGCATCAGGGGCTATTTTAAGTGCTTAAATTTTGGGGTGCCCCACTTGAGTGCAGGCCTAACTTTTAAAGGTGTTGTGCACCCAATGACTTCATTAGGAGTTGTCCGTGTTCAGTATCGCTGAAGGTGGCAAGTGCAGAAACAGTAAAAGGAAATATTTTTTCACACAATCAGACTGGAAATCTGCCACGGGAAGTCATTGAGGCCAAGAATCTAGGAAGTTTCAAAAGGGGATTGGATATTGATATGGATAACATTAATATGCAGAGTTATAATCATCACCAGCAAACTCTGGAAGGGATATTAACCCTCATGTTTCTGGGCTTAAAACAGTCTCTACCGATCAGAGATGAAGAGGAGACCTAATGCCAGGGGAAGGTTATCTCACTACTGCCCACTGCAAAGTTCTTACACCTTCCTCTGAAGATTTGGTGCTGGCCACCGGTGGAAATCTTATACAAGACAAGATGGGCCTCAGGTTTGATCCAGTTTTGCAGTTCCTATGTTCATAAAAATCAGGCTTACGGTGTATTAAATTAGTTATGCAAAAACAGCTAGTCAAAATGAGTGGCCCTGTTGAAAATATGGGCTTTAGTTTCTCCATCTTTATAATGTGGATAATCCAGTCTCAGAGGGGGTTGTGAGAATTAATTAATGTTCGCAAGATAGAACAATGCTGTCTATGCTAAGTATTATTATTATTTAGCAGACAGATTGTAATTGTTCTATGAAAAAAAATCTCATGACATTGTGTTCAAAAATAGTTCCTGAGCTCCTCTACACAGCTGCCACATTTCCAAGTTAAATATCTCAGTTGGTTGTTACATTTGTTTTCAAAATACCAAAAGAGATAAGACCACAGCGGGGACTGATGGTTTGCCAAATATCTTTGTGGGCCTTTTAAAATCAAAACCATGCGAGTTTCCTGGACCACACTAGAAAGGACACGTCACTGGCAAAAGTGCAGCCCAGAGCACAAATGGTCCGAGAGCCCTGGAACAAGGGGGGTTAGGATTAGAGTCAGGATGGTTTTATGGGGAAGCAGAGTTCAGTTCTGGGGGCTGCCACGCACTTCCTCTGTAACCTCCACAGCGAGGCTGAGTCTGGGTCAAGTGACTTGGGCTCATGCTGTGGGCTAAAAACTGCACCAAAAACATTCAGGCTTGGGCTGGGCTCTGAAGCCTGGCGAGGCAGGAGGGGCTTAGAGCTCCAGCCCGAACGTCTGCATGGCTATTTTTCCGTAGCGTGAGCCTGAGTTGACCCAGGCTCTGAGACTCGCTGCCATGGGATTTTTTGTTGTGTAGATTTACCCTCTGTGTCTCAAATCCCCATTTGTAAAAGGAGGCTACTACTATCTTTCTTCCATCCTGTCTTGTCTCTTTAGATTGGAAACGCTTCCGGGCAGGGAGCGTCTCTTACCGTGTGGCTGTGTGGTGCCTAGTAAAATGGGGCCCTGATATTACTACTGGCATACAAATAATAAAGACGTGCAGTAGAAATGCTAATGGGGGGATAGACGGCCATTTAGCCAACAATTCAGCATGGTGGATGCTTCCAAAATCAACAACATGTTTACGAGGACCCATTAAATGAGAACAAAACATACACCAGTGGGTGGTGAGTTCCTTCTCTATCTTAAAATGCTAATTTACAGCATAAATACAGAGAAAAATTAATCCCCAAAGGAAAAAAAAACTGACTTCTTTCAAAACAGCCCATCACCAATGAGCATGCTGCTACCAGCAATTTCCCACCCCCCATATCCTCAAGATGAAAACTCAG